GTGATAATAAGAGTACAGCAGAAATAAAAATCAAAGTTTTAACTATTGTGGTGGCACAAAAACAATGCAACACCTGAACATATAAGTATTTAAACATGAGAGTGATTTTACCTGTGCTATAGCTTACTATATTGAGCTTAATTCATAATTATACACAATTCTATGAAGTTATCATTTTGAACTTACTGGAGGTCTTTATGTGAACAGAATTTTGAACTCAGTGGCACTACTAATGGAGATGGCCCATAGCCAATGTAACCTGGCAAAGCCCTCAGTGCTGTCAGTGTGATGCTCGTTTCTTGGGCTGCCTGATAATTTCTCCTTATTGAGAAAGCATTTGCACAGAACGCTCTTCGTGGGTGTTAAATTCAAAGCAGTCTCATCTGTCCATCATTAAACAGGGATGTTGTACCTAGTATAAATTTTAGACAATTAATGGAGACTTTTAACACAAAGGGACACTCCAAGTTTTTGAGGTCCTGTTTGGTGACAGGCTGAGTAGGTTTGAAATAAAAGAATCCTTACTGTGTTGAACAGTGAGAGAAATTAATTAAATTTGATATTTTTTTCCAATATACACTGATAAATAAGTCATCAATAAAAAAACCTTAAAATAAACCAAGACTATGTCTCATGTTCTTCTAGGTGAGTATGAGAAGCAAGGAAGAAGTACCATTCAATACCTGAAACAACTGCTACCTTTGTATCTTCTTCCAGGACAATATTGTGGTCCTTTTAGCCTAACTATTTCCATCTTCCATTATTGCCTATTTTACAGATAAAAGTATGAATCTCTCTATGAATCTCCTAGAAGACACATAAACAAAGTATCTTTACCAAAGAGTAGGCAATGGACAACAGAAACAGTAAACTTGCCACAACCAAGCAGAATTTCCTATTCATAAAAGTGCTAATACTGTCATGTAAGCAAAATTTGAAGAGAAAGGAAGAATCTTGAACTATATGGTGAAACCTGAAAATGTAATTTCCCATTGGATGTTGACAACAAGCAAAATTTTACAGAAGCAGAGATCAATCAGATAAGACCACCATGAAAAAGATAGGACATTATTTTGGCTAGATATGACTAGCAATCTGGAATTATAATTCAGCTGCCACTAGCACATCTCCTGCTTCGCAGGGTCTGCATAGAGATCAAGGTGTAAACAAATAATTATGTTGGAGAGTCTGCCTTTAAAACACAGCTTTTACCTTTCATTCCAAGACTGGGTTTTGAGAACTTTCTGGGAGTAACATATGAAGTCAACATATGAAATCAAATATTTCAGTTTACGAAAGACTCTTTGTCTTCTCAGGAATGACTCAGGTGAGAATTATGACAATCTCAACTCATTAAAAGCTGGGTTTATTTCATAGTTGCTTGCTAAACTAGAAATGACATCAGCGTTCGGTCCCTTCAGCTCTCGACAGGCAGTCTTATGATGGAGGAGAAACTTCCATAACTGTCAATGACAAGAAGGGATGTTACTGAGTTTTAATTACTGGAGTGTGATTGTAGATAAGAATGGTAGGTAACCATAGTTGACTACACTTAATTGATTTGCTCTTAGAATCTTAAAGAGTAGTAAATTAAAGATAAAGAACTGAAGAGTCCCTTTGTGTGAAAAGGCATATCAACTTAGACTGGAAAGGCCTACAGCAGAAAAATAAAAAAAGGTAAAATTAGTCTTTGGAGCTTTTGTATTATGCAAAAAGAAACATAAACTCAATTCTTATCAGCAGTATTTGTATTAGTAATCTGTTCCTTTGAGAGGCTAGGTGGACTAGTCAGTAAAGAGAGGAAACAATAGTGAACTTGCAGCATCCTTATTTGACAGTCAATTAAGAAAAAGCTGTATGTGAAAAAAACCTCAAAGATGAAAATTTCCTAAAGGAGAATGTGGATGCTAATACTGCCCTTGGCTTGCACAGTAGCAAAATTTGGGAAGAAACTGGTCAAATACAGACAAAACCCCAGAAAGTAGGTGCAACAGTGATACTCAGCATGAACTTTAGCATAACTGGGGAACTGGTAGATTCATTTCAGTTTTCTGACTCCCGAAAGCAACCACAGGATAATCATGAACAGACAAAATATTTGGATGATCACAAATATGAAAAATGAGAAATGTGGTGCAGCCACTTAGACATACTCCAAGAATATTACAGGATGAAAAGGCAAAATGACATATTTGGACAAGATCACCACATTTTTGTTATGTCTGCAATTCACAAAATATCAGATACAAATAATGTGTGTGGGATGTGATACAAAATTTTGAACATTTGTTCCTGGGTCTGTTAGCTGTTTGTGTATTATTACATAACCAGTGACCCACACATAGGACATGCTAAGTATTTTATTATTTGGCATACTAATTCTAAAGTTCTATCAAAAGTAAGGACTTTTATAGAAAATACTTGTATGTTAGATAGGAAGAGAAATTACTACTATAATATACCAGTAACAACTATTCAAAATTTAAACTCAGTTCATCCCATCACTTATTATACAGGCACTTTGTTACTGAGCACAGAGATGGGCAAGCAATCTTCTTCCTTTACTTAAAGCCCCTGATAGTACTCTCTCTTTTCTACAGTAGAAATGTCATGATACACAGTATGGGAATAGCAATACGAGACACCAGAGGAAGCACATGTTTACCTCATCTCTAACTCCCTGGATGGGTTCCTTTTTCTGGAAAATTTTCATAGAATATGAAGATGGATCTCTCTGTACACAGAATTTTTCCCAAGCAAATTCTCTGTTCCTAATTCTCTACTGCTGCTGCCACAGCTCATACACACTGACAAACCCTGTAACTTATGCTATGCTAACTGCTCTACATTTTCTAAGTCTCTGTTTGAATCTTCATTTTGCATAGAAGAGGCCCTCAGGGACACTGCAAACTTTGTGTCTTCAGAGCAAGAGCCTATACCTTCCATTCCTTTGTATATTCCTTATATAGACACCACAAATATCACATATCTCATTTCAGCTTTTATTTGGATATTTTTAAGTTAAGTTGCTCAAGTCCATTTTCCATCAATACAGACACTAAAAATTGAGATCAACATTTAAGGCAACATTAGCATCCATGCCAAGCTCAATATACAAACCTTATCATCTAAGCACCACAGCATCCAAGAATTGTCACAGGTCCCCTACCTCTGTCACACATTCCCTTTCCATTTTAACTCTGCTATCCCACACTACGCTCAGTAATTCAATTCAGATGCAACATTCTCAAGTAAGACCTTGTCATTTTTTTCTATTTCATTTCTTATGAACTAGATCATTTTTGCATAAGGTGATACAAGTGAGATACTTTTCAGGGTGAAAGTATGCAGCTGATTTATGCTATAATACCATACAGGATTTAAAAAAAATATATTTACCATCATTATTCAACAACTTAGTATGAACATTATACGTATTTAGCCTTTTAGTAAAGGCTATACATTGAGACTTGTTAGAATGAAATTTTGCTTTAAATTCTGATTTCTTTAGTCTTTAGTGTTACTGTTGACAAGTGTTTGAGTCAAGGATGCTCAAGTGCAACTTTTATGTAAGAATATTTACAAGTATACAAAAGACCACATAGTTTTTAATACACCCGCTATTCTTAATACAGAGTAAATAAGGATTTGTCTTGTGCCTGTGGAAATATTTCAACATGTGGGTCTTACTTTTTTCTCTTTTACAGTAAAAGGAAAGGTTTTACTTTTCCTTAAGAAGTATATTTATTACAAGATGGTTAGCATACATATATCACATAACATACAAGAGTTAAAATTAACTAGTTACAAAATAAGCAGTCGTATGTATATTTTCATATAACCTAAGAACAGGATCAGTATTTTACAAAGTACATATAAAAGTACTTCATATACAAAGAAAAAATACAAATGTGCAAACACCATTGTCACAGGTGGAAATTTGTCAATTGAAAAATGCTAGAAAAATCCTTCATATTTTTGTTTTGAAATTGCAATTGCATTAAAAACAGCTCCATTTCCTATTGTGTGTGGTGAGAAATTTATGTTCCTTTCTGACAAAATACATTAGTTATAAAAAAACCACAAACAATTTAATAACTGAAAAATCTTATAAGTTTGGTTAGGCTGACATTAAATTACAAGCAGAACGTCTGGAAAAATGAGAAAATAGTGAATCGTATATACAAACCTTTTGTAATATTAGTGTGCTATTTAACATATTAACATTTCAAAATAAAAACAATGGCTTAATTACCTACATATTCTACTCAATGTCATCACTATTTGTAGACTGTAAAATTTCTACTAATTTGGGGCTATTAAAAATGTTTCACCAGGATTTTAAGCTGAACAAACACAATTTTATCAAATGTAAAAATCTATAAACAGTCTTCCAATTCATGTGCAAAAAATGTTTAAAAAGTATCAAATCATGACACATCAAACCTGATTATGTACATATTTAATATCTGTAAATGTTAACTACCTAGTATTGTTCCGCTATAAATAACTTACCTCTGTCCTGCAAAATGTCTGCATTTTAAAGATTTCAGTGCAAGTGCTTGCTTAATTGTTTAGTGCATTATCATGTTTGTTATTTTTTTATTTTACAGTGACCAGAACAGCATATAAATTAACATATACAACTCACACATAAGAGATCTTTCTTCTACTGAATTCCTAGTTTGTTGTTTTCTGTTTCTCCTGGATAGTGTCAGCCAGTTTTGCTTCATTTATCCCATTGTAATTGCAAACAGAATCTAAAATAAAAGTGCTGTGATCTTCAGATAGTCCCTAGAACTTGAAATTCCATAACAACATTGTGGAAGCACTCAGTAGAGCACAAGATTAGAGAATGACCTGCACACTGAGAGACACTTGAAAGTCTGGTATCGGGCAATTTCACTTTTTGGTCTTTAAAAATATCAACTGTCTATAAACATTGGCAACCTGATATATATGTCACGGGACTCAAAAGCTTCATTTATTTATTTATTTTTAGGAATTGTAGACATGTTCCCTCTTATTCATGACTACCTTGGAAATAAGAACATTCTGTTTAAAAATATAAATAAAGTGAAAACACACTTCCTGTTGGAGGGAAAATTTCTACAATTTCCTTTGGACAGGTTTCCTAACAAAATAGCTCTGAAATAAGAAAACCAGGATTAGATGATAGTGCAAATACAGCGACTTTTATAGTTAGGAATTGTAGTGAAGTGGAAATTCAGGATAAATGGATTATTATTTTTCAAAGTCTTCCCTGCAGAAAAAAATAGCAGTTACAGTGGTTATAATTATTAAACAGAAAAGGAACTTTAGCATATTATGAACTTTTATGGCTGGTTGTCTGTCAGTGACATTTCAAAACTTAGCTTCTTACAGGAAGAGGTGCTTTTAACATGTCTTTATTATGGAACATTTTTCCTTTCTAAGCATCTGAAATGCAACTCTGGATCCTATCCATCCACTGTTGAGCACTCTGTGCATCTTGGGCACAAAAATTATATACACGTTTATTTGTCTTCAACTGCAAAGGAAAAATAAGAACATGAAGATAGACAAGTCAACACACAAAACAGAAAAAGAAACTTGCAAACTTTAAACTGTAATACTCAATGTACTAATTGGGTCAGAAAGTAACATTTTTTTAACTTCTGCTGTTGGGAGTGAGAGCCAGATGCTAGCTGTGTAAAAATTTTTTGTCTTGAGTTGGCATGACAGCTCCTTCCTAGCTCACACCTTCTAGCAGGACTAAAAGTAGTAGGTTAAACACACTAAGAAAAGAAAGTTTCACATAAAGATCAAGTAAAGTCCAGAAATACTTACATCGAAAAATGCTTTTTCACTTGCATGTTTTGGGGCTCCAATTGTTGGAGAAGCAGGAATCACAGTTTCTACTTCTGCAAGGTCTATGTGTCCCTTACAGCTTGTATCCTCACCAGAATCATAGTATCGCAGCTAGACCACAAGAGAAAAAAAAAAATAATCCAAATGTGCTATTTAGATGGACCTTTCACCACTTCTTCCCTTTTCCTGGATACACCTTGGAGGCATGGAGGGGTAAGGGTGGGAGGCACAAATATTGTTAAGGCCTGAGGACATCAGACATGGGAAATTTCTAAGACACAACTGACAGAAACCATAAGTTTGGTATATACAAAATGGTGGGACTGGTGATAGCCCTTAACTGGCCAGTCCTCTGTTTGACATCTCTGGGTAATAACAAAGTCTCCACCATCTGCTCCTGTGCAGACATGGAGCTGGGGGAGGAGCATTTTGTCACCAGAGTTTCAGAGCAGAGAAACTTCAGTCAAGGATTGCTTCTGGGCAGAGGATGTGCGAAGGATGAAAGCTGAACCTGTCTTTAGGATTCAAGATTCCTTATCAGTTTTTCTAACAGAAACCACCTTGTCACTGTTCATTACACTGAAACTAACACAAAAGCTTTTCTTCACCAAGGAGTTAAAAGAACACTTATTCTCTATATTTCAAGAATTTAAAATGATCAGCAAAAATTTAAGTATAATTTTAGATAATTATAAACTACATAGAAAACTCACATTTTCCTATACTTCACTTAGTGGTTAAATGAAGCTTGCTTTTTCTTCCCCCACCCCGCAAAGATACTTTGATATGAATGTTAACCACTCCGTAAACTGAGTTTCAATATGCAAACAAGTTCCAGAAGAGAAAATCTGATACTTGCTTTTCAATAAATAAATAAATAAAACCCATAAACCAATGCAAAATAGTAAAGCAAACCTTCATAGCAAAGGTCAAACAAAAGAATTCCAACTAAGATTGACCTGTATTTCTCCCATATCTATGATACTCAGGAGGATATTTGGTTATACAAAAAACGTTAAAGTATTTTTTCTCTGCAAAATGAACCTTTTCCCCTGTGTATCAGGAAGAATAATTATAATCAGCACATTTGTTGGTATTTTACCACGCTAATCTAGAAATCCTCAATTAGCATTTTAAAAGATGACTGTCTTTATCTATATTAGATATTTTTTAAGTGTATTGATTACAATAAATTAATATTTTTCAACTAAAACATACATGCATCTCAGAGGTTACAACCCACGCTGGGTGGAATATTTGGCTCGATGAAGACTACTGCCTGGTGACCCAATGTTATTTAAAGTACATGAGACCACAAATTTCCACTGCAGAATTCCAGCATACATTGTAAATTGGGTAAAATGTTTAGACCAACAGATCCTCTCTGGTTTTAGTTCTCCTTGCTGTACAATCATGTCAGAATATTTATGAATAATTCTGCAACTAAATTTACATCACTATGACTAATCTAAAACACTCCTATATATGGAGTATTGCTATTAGTTACCATATTGGCTCTCAGCATCCCAATTGCACTCTAGGAAATACCTTCCAAGATTTTCACACTCTAGCTCAGAAAGAGTTTTTAGTTCCTTTGGAAACTAAAGAGGTCATTTTAAAGGGCAAATTATGCTCACCACTTAATTGCCTAATGACGTTCTAGAGTTAGCAGTGCTTTAAAAAACTGCTTGCATTGCTTGTATACCACAATGCCCAGAAAATGTCCTCAGGCACTACCTGGCTTTTTTTTTTCCTGGGGTATGAAGCGGGTAAAAAAATGTTTTGGCCCAAACAATAATGCATGACTTCCAGTCCAAGAAGTCTTTTATGATTATATGCTATGCAGTTATCACTGTTTTAAAAAGACAACAAAATACTAAAAATACCTCTGTCCATTCAGAACAGTGTATGAACTACAAGATACACAAGATAAATATACATATATGGTCTATAATGATGTAACACACACATCACATCTGAAAATAATCATTATTGGTATTATTTGTAAAATCAATTTATACAAACCCAGTACATAAAAAAGCAGCAAACTAGTCATAAAAACATCCATTATCTGAGAAGGTTTTACCTGGTGTTTTGTCACATCCAGCACAAACCAGCGAGGTTTCCAACCTTTTAGTAAAGCTCCTCTTTTGTATAGCGTACCTTCAAAAGATCTGAAAGGTACAGAAAATACAACTGGGACGTCATTCTATAACATGAATACTGGTGATATATAAAAGCCCCAAAATGACTGCATACATATTCAAACACTTCTTTTACTGCAGTAAACCAAATTGGGTTTAAAACAATAGTTTAGTTATTGGTAACTGTGATACACTGATAAACACTGTTTCAGTACTCTGGATGCATTATTGTGCAGCTACAATTTGCTTGTGCATATAAAGGGGAAGATTGACAGACACTGCTAGGAGATAGATGCCTACCCATCAAGACAACTAAATGGAATCAAAACCACAAAGAAGGAATAAAAAAGTCGCAAAGCATTCTGCGCATATGAAAGTAATTTTTTTTCCTAAGGCAAAGACTTGTACTAATCTATACAAGGTTCATACTCTATGCTTATTCAGTTTACCTGTTTTCATCATTCTTTGATGCGAAATGATTATATAGTGTAGTTGTTCTTCTATCTACTCCATTAGAGGGAGAGATGCTTGCACTCTGTTCCTCACCCAGCCCACTATCAGGTATTTCCAACAAAGACCTCTTCTGATAGGAATGTAGATTAGCTGACATCATCCCTGAGGAGCCAGAAGGATGTCTCCGGAGCTAAAGATGAAAATAAAAGAAAAAAAGTAACGTAGTGTGTCTTGCATTGTGAGACTGTCTCAACATTATACTGATAATACGTGGTACAACATGTAAGTTGTGAATTATTATGAGGCCAAAATATCTTCACAATACAAGTCAGTGCTTTCTCAGAGAAGAAGTCAGAGGGATGGCAATTCAATGACTTCCTTAAGCAGAAGGGTTCACGTGGCGTGAGACATCAGTATTTCGGAAAAGCCTTGTATATTCCAGTGACAATCCTGAACAATGTTTCCCTTGCTTTCTCAGAAGCATCTAGAACTAGTCAGACATTTGGATACAATAAATTTCCACAATGGGAAGGGAAGAAAAAGAGTGTAGTTTCCAGGAGCTACTTTACAGATCCAAATAATTTTAGGAGAATCTCAAGAACCTGGGGACAAGAGGGATCCTGAATTTGGTCTTAATCTAAATGACAGCATCCTAGAGATAGAGTTCTTTGGGGTTGGCCCTTAGCTATGCATTTATCTGAGGCTCCTTAAAAAACAGCTAGGACAGCAGACTGATATCAGGTATATTTTTACTTGCATTTTCTTTTCTGCTTCCAATTCAATTAATTTTTTTTTTAATTGAAATCCTCTGCTTTGCTAGGATAAAACTTTTTTCATCTTGAATTTGTCTAGGGTATAAAGTAAACTTGAATGACTCTGACAGACATAAAGCATATTGCTTTCCTGAGAGCAAAGGACAAGTAACAAAGTAGTGCTGTAGACTAACCATTGCATAGAGGCTGGCAAATCTGAACAAGCACATGAAACTGAACAGTTAGGGTACAGTCTTGAGCTGGTAACTCACTGTGCCAAGTTTATAGGGAAAGCTCACAAAAAGCAGTATCTAGCATTCTTCCTTATGCATGTAGATAGCAGAGAGGCAGCTGTTGACTTAGAAAATATCTATGTTGTCAGTTATTCTTTCTACTGTAGTCAAGAATTGGAAACACAAGCACGAACACTTCCTACCTTTATTAGAATCTAAAATTCCAAAATTCCATTTAGACATGGAATATCTTTACTCATCTCTGAAAATCTGTGATGTCCTTTTGGGTGCTTTCAGGAACTGAGCTTTTTTGTACTTCAAGAATCTTTTAAATATAATGTATTTCTTAATATATTTAAATGTAATGTATTTCTGTATTAGTAAAATGCTCATGCTCATTTTGTCTGTATGCCTTAATCTACTCTGGAAAAGCAATTAGATAAATAGCACAAGTATAAATATATGTTTCTTCATGCAGAAATACAGAGCCAGTATCATGGGTTAGAACAACATACTAAATTTTTCAAAAGCAGTATTTTATTCCAAGAAACACAGTGATTTTGTCAGTGCCCCAGGTAGCCGATACAGAAGGAATGAAATTCTTGTATGGAATGAAATTATTGTATTGGATAAGCTCTTTTACTACTTACATTGTCTTGTCTGGTTTCATCCTTTAGATTCATTTTGACCCTCTCCCACAAAAGCTGCCATCTTTCTGGGCTCTGATTTAATTTACTCTCCAACCTTTCGATTTCCTGAAACAAACAAGAGTTTTCTTAAGGATAAACATTTTTAACTGATCAATTCCTGGCAATCATTTTTATACAACCATTTTCTAGTCAGTATTCTTACACAGGGAACTTTTAGGCCATGTTGCTCACTAAAGTTCAAAAACCTCTGTCAAACCAGCTATGAACTGAAATCAACCAGACTCAGGAGTCAAAGGGAACGAAGTACAGCATCAGCCATGTCGTTCTCCTTGCGTGTCAAAGGTTGGAAGAGCCATTGTGCTTTCAATTCTCTGCCAGTTCTCCTGAACACACAAAATTCAACACCAATTGCCATAATAGAAACACGACAATGATAAGGCTAGGCTATATTTTATAAAAACATTTACAAAGAATAAATTCTGTGCTGTGACACCAACATTGCCAATATTAACATTTACGCTGGTTTATAAAATGTGATACAAAGCTGTAATAAAAGAAGGAAATGAAACAGAAAGATTTATTCAATTTGGATGCCAAACTGTAACAACATGTTCTTGTTGTGGAATTTGGGAATATGACCTATGTTGATAACCTCCAGTTAGGGTTATTTCCTGTTAATAAGACAGTGCATGCAAAGTTAAGTAAAAAAAGGAAATTTCATTAATTTATGCTTGTGAACACTCATTGTTACGTTTGTCATTACTCTGATGTGTGGTCAATATTCCTTGTCATGCTTTCTTTCCATATATTTACTTTCAACAACTATATTGTTATGAAAATCTGATTCTTAATGAAATCAAATTAAAAACTCAATTTTACAAATCCAATTAAGAATTGATGATGGAACAAAAAATTGCCATAGGACAGAGAATTCCCATGCTATATAAAAGCCAACTAAAACCCAAGCCATTTATTTTCAAAGCAGAGACAGTAAGTCTCTGACTTTATTTACTTCTACTATACCAAATGATTAAAGTAGATTTTGTAATATTCTCCAACTCCTATTGGCCTTTTAGAATATTGTTACTGATTGAAAGACTTACAAGAAAATGACTATATTTTTAAGGTAAGAAAACATTTTGACCAGGAAATTAGCTCCTGAACTAAATTTTGAACTCTGATGTGAACATAAAAAAACCAGTATTTGACAGTGTAACAGGAACAAAATATTTCTACAAACTCTTCCCTGCTTGAAGGTACATTAGAAAACTCAAAAGTAAAACTAAATATAAGAAATCTGGCTTAACAGCAAGTATCAAACCAGAGGTTTTAAATACTGAAGGTAGTTGAAAGCTGCATATACATTAAATATTACGGGACTCTCTTCCTGCCAAAAAATAAAACCAGAATAGTTTTGTCTGGAGTATCTTCATAGGTAGATACAACAATAAGAAAGGCTGAACACAAGCCAGACTAAAGGCTTCTCTAGATTACTTGTTCCTTTTCAAAGTGCTGAGTGTAAAACGCTTCCTCATGGGATACATATGACTGAATCAATTTACCACAGACTTTATGCAAAAGGCTTTCCAAATTGCTGCAAAAGGATACAAGCTCTTTAGTGCTAAAAGTTAGTCAGGTTTTAATCTGATCATTCTCTTTCTGCTCTAGTCTTGATTTCTCTGCAGAATCTGGAAGTAACTGAAACTCGTTACTTAGCAACTGGGTCACATTCCTTCTTTTTGGCTCCACAATGAGTAGTCCTTCCAGAACTTAAAATGAAAAACTTTCAACAATCTCCTATATATGACTTGAAAACTTAGGAATAAATTCTCCTTTAATAAACCCCATGTAAAAAAACTTACATGGCAATAAATCACTAAGATTTACTCTTGCTCCCTCAGTTTTAAATTTTACTGAAATAGTCAGATTTTTTTCCTTCCATATGTGGAACGGACAATGAAGAGCTGCATTTCCTTGAAAGAAAAATTCCTTAAATTTATCTTTCTGGTTCATCTCCTGTTGCCTAGACTTATGGAAGCATAAGTCAGTAAGTATAAAATGAAAGGTTGTAACAAATACAATTGTATGAATATCCATTTCCTGAAATCAGTAATTACAAGCAACTAGCACTACTGTGCCTTTCAAAAGATGTATCCGTTAAGTAATCTGCTTTGTAATATTTGAACGGTACAGACAGGAGTTAACTCTGCAGACACTCCAGAACTGTAGAGACTGATCACCACCTTTGTATCCACAATGTGCACACACAAAACAATCTGGATAAAGCCCTACGCTGGTGAACTGTCTTGACTTTGGCAGAACGCCCTGTTTTGGAAGTCCTTCCTTGTCAGTATTTCCCCTTCAACTCCTGGGCTAGAAAGCTTCTGAGACTTTGACTACAAATGGAAAGATGTTGAATGTGTATCCAGTGATTGAATTGCCGCCTCTGTCAAGCATTCAGACTTGTGTGTGCAACAAGTTGTACAGGACTAGTTTTTCAATATTTGGAATAAACTTTTTGGTTCAGGGTCCACTTTGATGGATCAGTCTTTTTGGCACATAACCTAAAGTTATAAACCAGCTCACAATAAGAAGTGTTATTTGTATTGTTTTGCTGGTTATTCATTGAGCCCTTATAAAGCTTTAGTTCTTTACGGTGTATATTTACAGCAACATTAATTTGCATGACTGGCATCCTGAAGTGGCATCTTTGAGTGTGCCAGCCTCTCTCTGAGCAATCACTGTCTCCTGTTTAGTGATGTAATTGCTTATTTATAAGACACATAGGTTCATCTCTCACAATTCTTAAAAGTACTGGAATATGAACCACTCCTAATGAATTATGGGGACTGAATACTTTTTTTAGGAACATTAGCAAATTAGTGGGAAACACTGGCGATGTGTCTGCCCTCAAGGATTTGACTTGCATTTTCACTGAAATATTAGTAGATTACTACCTCTAATACAACCAGCAACCAGGCATATATCACAGAATGGTGAGGTTGGAAGTGACCTCTGGAGGTCATCTGATCCAACCCCCCTGCTGTAGCAGGGTCACCAAGGGCCAGTTACCCAGGACAGTGTCCAGGTGATTTCTGAGTATCTCCAATGATGGAGACTCCACAACCTCTCTGGGCAACCTCTGCCAGTGCTCAGTCACTCTCACAGTGAAGAAGTGTTTCCTGATGTTCACACAGAACTTCCTGTGTTTCACTTTGTGCTGATTGCCTCAGGTCCTGTCACTGGGCACCACTGAAAAGAGTTTGGCTCCATCTTCTTTACACCTTCTCTTCAGATATCTACATGCATTGATACGATACCCCTCTGAGCCTTCTCTTCTGCAGGCTAAACAGTCCCAACTATCTCAGCATTTCCTCATATAAGACAGACTCCAGACCCTTAATCATCCTCAGGGCCATTTGCTGGACTCTCTCTGGTAGCCCCATCTCTCTCTTGTATTGGGGAGCTGAAACTGGGCATAGTACTCCAGGTTTGGCCCTAGCAGGGCTAAGTAGAGAGAAAGGATCACCTCCCTCAACCTGCAGGCAACACTCCTAATCCAAACTAGGATACCACTAGCCATCATTGCTGCAAGGGCACGTTGTTGGATCACAGTCAGCTTGCTGTTCCCCAGGACACTCAGGGCCCTTTCTGCAAAGCTGTTTTCCAGCTGGGCACTCCCAGCATACACTGGTGTATGGGGCTGTTCCTCCACAGGTGCAGGACTTTGCACTTCCCTTTGTTGACCATTGCTCAGATAAGTTAGCTCATTTGAATATATCACAACATACTCATGTCAGAGGATCATTTCAAGAGCTAGTCTTTATGGGAAACGTTTAACCCAGAACTTTAGCCTGTACTGAAGACATGGTTCTTGCATGTGCTATGCTGTGGTATAATTTCACTGAATTTTACAAGCAAGGAAAGCAAGTGCTTACAAAAAAGAAGCAGCAGGAACTTCAAACTTCCTGTCAAATGAGTTGTTTTTGAGTTTTGTCGAGAAATCTAACTTTTTAAAATGGAGAAATTATTTTAAAACTATTTGCAACTAATCTCTGAAAGAGAAAACAGAGGCAATAGGTGTGCTGTTTCACAATTACCCTTCGTTTTCTTTAAAAATGGATGGGTAGTTACTCTTACTATCGGCACCTTGTTTCTGATTTCATGCAGAAAGGCCATAAAAAATGGTATTAAAGGGAAGCACTTCTGTTTGGAGCTACTTTTGAACATTTATGTTTCCAAAGTATGCTTTTGGGAATTTAAGATTTGAACAACCTAGCTCATATATATTGTCTGCCTCTGATGTGGTAGAAGTGAATTGAGAAGCTTTCTACAGAAATGTGTGTGTTAAAATGCATTTTATTATCTGCAGTCTTTAAAGGCTTCATTTAGGACTAAATGAATGAAATGTGCAGATTGGTTAACTTTCTAGAACTCATAAACATAAGGATTTATGGAAACCATAGAGCCATCACACACATCTGGTTGGAAGTGGATTGTTATGTACCCAAACACATTTGAACATTTACTGCTAAAAAACTACACCTTTTGCTCTTAATAGAAGAGCACCACATTCTACCAAGGAAAATTCTGAGTTAAGACACTCAATAACTTCTCTGTTTCAGCTTTATATCCTGAAGAGCAATATCTAGTTTTCAACTGAAAAATATCTTTAGAACTAACAAATTTGGGCATATCATCATAAACTAAGGGAGAATCAATCTTCCCTAATAATTTACCATTGCTAAATAGGGTCTCAGTTCAAACATTTTTTTGGATACCAACACATTCTCAATGGATTTATGATTAAAGAGAGGTCTTTCTCCTACATCAGCAATAGCCCTAAATTAACAACTTGTTTTAAAAAAAGTTCACTTTGCTTTTTAAACTTAGAATATTTTTGTAACCTTTACACAACCTCTTCAAAGATTTCCAAATGTTCCTCTCCAGTGCTTTTATTACTATAATCTAATTCACAAATAACATTTAAACTCTATAAAACCTGACCCACATATCTTTGGAATATAATATGGCTAATTTCCCTGTTATATGGCAGATTCTCACAGTTGTGGATATGGATAGTTTGGCATCTACCCCAGGAAGAAATGCAGAACATTGTTGCTATATTCCTGATGTATTTCTGGCCTCTAGTTACCTGATATGAAAACTCTGGTTTTTTGCTAAAGAATCCCTGATAAGACCCCTCCTGAGAGATTGCTTTTGCTTTGCATTTGTGAAATTATAAGATCTGAGAAGTTCTGGCTATCTTGAGTCAAGGGGACTTTTTTTTTTAATTGGGCATTGTTCCTGTGTTTGATCAATTATGATTGGAAGGAGTGGACCAAAAGAAATTTGAGGAATGTGCCAGAAAAAAGCTAACACACTAGCAAAAGCAAGTCTATCTTCAAGATCTCAAATCCATTCAGAAACTTCCTGCCTTAAGACTTTACTAAAAATCATCCTTGATTTGGGGGAGTTTGGGAGCCCACAGCATATCTAAATTTTCCAAGCATTGCAATGTTAGTCCACAATCCTAGCTTTAATATAAGGTAAAGTCTGCAAATAGTTTTCAAAATAAAAAACTGTACGTAGTGATGTGTATCTGAATATGCATGTGGCTTGAAACAATAGCCCCAGGAAGTAAAAAAATGCCCTTGTAATTTTCCTGAGCTATCAGTGAAGATTATAATCTAAATATTAGGACTGTTAATTAATTATAATCAAACAACAAACATTTAAGAAAAAACAGATGTTAAATCATTCTAAATAACTACAACAATTACCATGATAATGGGATCCTTTTTCATCTTCTAATGAAGAAAGGACAAAACCTAAGCAGCCTACATGAGCCCAGACAAGAAAAAGCCAAAATCAAGCATCTATGTCAAGTACCAAAATATTCTGAAGAATCCAAATTTATGAGTTCAGTCCTAGCAAACATGAATAAACTAAGAGCATTCAAGGAAAGCTTTTTTGAGAAATTTGGGCCAAGATGTTCGGTTTATGTTTGTATTATCTGCTTTGTAACACAAATCTGCCAGACTCTGTTTTCTGATCTGTCTGGAAATCTGGGTCTTTGTCATTTTACTGCACACCTACTTTAAACTGAGTAGAAAGAAGACAAGAAGTCTAGATTCAACACTTGCCCAAATTGTTCCTGCATTTCTTATACAAGGCAACCTAAAAATGTATTATGCTCCCTACCTTATTATTTAAAAATGACAGTGAAAAAAACAAATCCATGACTGGTTTTCTCATAGTTATTAACTACTATTAAACTGTACTCCCAGAAAAGTGTTCATTCAGAACAACATAAACTTCGCAGGAAGCCTGACTGATTCCCAGACCTACACCACTTTTCAAGATCAAACAGTCAATTTTACTAAATACCTGTTTTGACATCTATCATGATCCTTTTAATAACAGTATTTCTATAAGGCAATAACAAATAAAAAGTAAATATGAATTTCATGAGCATAAGAAAACTTACTGTTCCGTGTAACAGATGTACTTACATTTAAAAGGCTGCTGATGGCATCAGGTTGTATTTTTTTAACATCATCATAACATGGCCATACTATTTTCCTTTTTGTCTGAGAGAGTGAACCATCTGTTTGGTCGGTTTCCTCTGAAACACTGCATTTTGCAGTTACCATGGTCCAATCATAGGAAGGACCTGTAGCCAAAATCTCTTCTACATAATAATCCCACTTTTTGAGGCTGGACATATTTACATTTGGTTTCAGTGCCTATTTGAAAAAAAGTCTTATTATAATGACAGAAAGAAAGTCTTTGAGTTTCAGACTTACGATGCAAAACTTGTATTTTCTAGATTAGTCTAAATTGAACAGTATATTGTACAGGGTGAGTAGTGCTGCAGTCTGATAATTTCCACAGCAAGATATTGGTTCAGTTAGATCAAAACCTAAAACTAATACTAGCTTTGGGAATACACTGCTCCCTTTTATCCTTCTACTAAACCAGGTGCTGACCAAGAACTCTAATTCACCATATGCAGTTGGTACCCTCACAGTCTTTGTGTCTCCTGTTAAACGTACAAAAGGCACTCAATAGCAATCACCCTTCAATTTTTCTCAGCAGAATATCCAAGACTCTTTACCATCAGAGAAAGGAGACAGGCTGTATAATGTAGGTGGACACACCACTTGGAAAAAAATCACAGTAATATGAGGTAGGCAGCCAGGGACTGTAGGTCTTTCAGAATAGTTTAAAACAGATCACTTTGTATTATATTTTTTTCTTTTAAAAAATAAGGTAGACATTCAGTTAGCATGCACCTTACTTGACTGCTTCTTCCCTTGCTATTGCAGAATTCTGTAATGGTGTATTGTGAACTTTATATAATTATTCAAGACACAGTGTAATCTAGTGGACATTCATTATCATATGAGACAGTGATATAGATATGTGATTCAATCAGACTGTTATGAAATGTATCCCATTACGACTCTAAACTCATTTCCCCTGTGGTTTGCAGTATGTAATTTTTTTTTAAACAATCTGTGCAAACTTTAGGATCACTTTTATAATCATTCATATAATTAAATGAAATCAAACAAAGATCCTCATTTATCTCAGCAGGATGCATCATACACGTTCCAGAATTTGGCCCTTTAAATGACATTTCCATAACTAAGATGACTGAGAATATAAGCCTGTGAGACACCACTCCAATCAATCAAGGTGGGCCAACTATGCCAAATGCTTAATTCAGTTGAGAACAAATAAAGTATCAAAATATATGCAAGGAATCATCCAAAATAACAAACTACCTGGGTTTTTTTTTGGTTTGGGTTTTATTTGGTTTTGTGGTTGTTTTTTTTTTTTAAATCATACCTCTATTTCAGCAGGGGCATAGAGATAATTGAAGAAAATAGGGCTCCTTTTGTGCATCTTTTCAATACATTCCCAAATACAAATTCCTTTTTTGGCATGTTTATCTCCTTTATCTTCAAACAATGTCCCTAGGGAAAATAAAAACAGCAAAAAGAGAGCTTTATGATAATACATAACAAACACTAAAGCATAGCTAAAAGGAATTTCACAGACTAAATGTATAGTAAAATCTACTATCAAATGCCTTTGCAACAAGATATTGTATTTGATGAAACTGCGAGGCTTTGCAACTGCCACTCTGCCACAAATTGGTAGAACATCAATTTTCATGAAAAAATATTCAGTAGTGTTGTACTTATAAACCTGTTCTGAAATTTACTGAAATACTTGAGTGTATTTATGAATGTCCCTTTCTGCCTGCAGCTATACTGATTCAGCAGATCACCAAGCTCTACTAACTGATTCTGCCCCCCCACTACCTGAGGTCACCAGCCCTTCCAGTCTGCTGGACCAGCTGTACCCCGAAATTATTTGCTAACTCATTTCAGGAAAATCAAATCAGGCTACTGTAAATAAGTTAGCTGTAGATTTGTGCTATCTGAAATGACTATGGAAGGACATATAGTTTATCCAAAGACTACTGGAAACAGGATTTTATATTGCATTAAATGGTATTTGAAAGCAAACTACCCTAAATAAACAAACACTCCTCCCTTCCCAATTGTAGAACATGTAATGATCCAGGTTGGAAGGAACCACATCAGGTCATTAACTCCAACTCCTTGCTTTTGTTCAAATGAAGGTAAATAATGGAAATTAACTATTTTTGTTTAAATAAAATGGTTGCTCAAGTTTAGTCTGTTCCACAGTTACTACTGTTTTGAAGAAAAGCATTAAAATTGACAATATGCCATGAGAAACACCCCACGAAACAGTGAAATTCAGGGTACTTAAGTGTTTTGCTTAGTGAACAAGTTCCAAGAACAGCCTCAACTATGGTTGTGAAGTCTTATTAAGAGGGGTCTGAGGGTAGGTAAGGCCTTTGAACTGGTAAGGTTGCACACGATAGGACTAAAAAGGAAATATAAGAGAAGAGAAACATTGAAGAGAATGCAAGAGAAAAAAGTGAGAGATAATAAAGGCTTTCCTGTCCTGAAACCTCATGCACTCCCTGAAGGATTCCAAAGGACTTTGTTTCTGTTAAAATAAGGCTATTTAGTAGGGCAAACTGAACCATGTGGATAAATTGCTAAAAAAAACCCTGAGGCATGGCACTAATTTCTTCCACTTTCTCTTAATCTCATCAGTGGCATGGCTTGGGAATTATTCATTCAGAAAACTCTACATGTTCTTCACCTCCATTTTCCTTTATATTTCTGAAATGGAATTCATTACATCATCACCATGCAACTACTGGACTATCTCAAACTAGGCAAATTTTTGTGGACCAAATATTGACAAGAAAAATACCAACAACTACAAAACCAACATGCAATAAACAAACATCACACATACCATGTTCTAGTCTTTCATAGTCTGAATCCAGAAGAAAGGTTTTAAATCGATTTGATATGTGATGAAAAGCCAGAAACTTCAGATAATATTGATTGAACTCAAACTCGGTGGGGTATTGGTTATGAATCTAAAAAAAAAAAAGAAAGAAAGAAAGAAAGAAAGAAAGAAAGAAAGAAGGATAGAGAGGATATTGAGGTATAATACAAATAGATATGTAATAAATAAGAATATGGAATATGACAGCAAAATAATTCCCATGTGAATGCTGACAACAAACACATCCATAGGCAACTGTCTTCTCTGTACACACAAATCCTTCTACATTTTGTCTAAAAATATTATAAAGCTAATTAAATTCATGTATTGTCTATGCTGCAAAGATGTGTCAGAGCAGATAGGATGTACTGTATAATAAGCAGTATTACACTCTGTACAAAACCCAGGATTCTTCAAAGTAATCAAACTGGATATAAATCTTTTATAACTTGTGAGACCACGTAACTTCACAGGGAAAGATGCGACTCTTCGATGTAGCTGGAAATCACACTTTAATTGGAAGGTTTTGTGGCCGACCTCCTCCTATTGCTCAGAACCCAACGTAGCAGACATGTACAGAGGTAACGCTGCACATGATACGCCATCTACCATTACTGAAACAGATAATTTCTGAAGTGCTTGCTATTCTACACATATTTCTTCCCTTTCAAAATATGCATCAAAGTATTACAGTATGAAAAAAATATGAAAAACATATGGAGTAGATGTCTTGCCATTACTCTTTTAAAACAATAAGAACAATGTAATGTCTTAAATTATTATCCTCAGTTAGGCTTGAGATCTGTCTAATTCAGTGCATGTCTACAACACAACACAGGAGCAGAAATTTAAGATGACAATACAAGATTATCAGAGTACAGCAATGTGGGATAGTTGGCTCTCCACAACTACTTCCTCTGGAACATTATCAGAAAGAGCCTAGTGTAAGATTTTAAGCATTAAGTTTAATATTCATGGCAAAATTTTTTAGCATTAATTATTGATGATATTTATACATGATATCCATATAAAATTCAAGATTCTGCAGTTAAACTTCTTAAGGTACTGTTCAAAGAAATTTCATGTGTAATTGCAAATTTAAAATTTACTCTTCAAATAAGTTTATGAATTGTGATCTATATTTTCAGAATTAAGCATGGTAATTAAGTGAAAATTCCTAAGTACAGTTTGCAATCAAAAAAAGAAACTGCTGATTGAATTTCACATTTGAAATATGTCCCCCTGTGCTTTGTCTAGCTTCACATCAAACTTATAAAATACCTTTAGTTCTGCAATATTCCTGTGTCTTGTGTTTTACATTCTCACCACTCTCATTTTCCCATTCCATCTTTTCTCTCTAATCTCTACTTATCAGTTCCTCAAGAGAGAAACTTTTTTTTTTTGTTTTAGTACTTATGGAAACTAGTATTAGACTACTTGAAGCTCCTTGATGTTTAGATTTTCACATGTGCCAGCTGAAAAAAAAAACCCAACCAGCTAAATAAAGAAAAGAAATACGTGTTTAGTAAGGAAAGGTTATCTACCGAATGTACAACAGTGACAGGAAAATCCCTTGAAAGGGCCTGTAACCACATACACAGCATTTCAGTCAGAGAATCTCTCAATATTAGCTTGAGGCTAGGCATTTAAAATGCTAAGACACTTTAAGATATCTCAGTTCAATATACTCACACTTACTTTATTCCCACTTTTCCTTGACTACATTCCTGCACTGTTTTGTAAGAATAAAGCTAAGCATTTTTTTTCAATAATAAATTCAAGAGTTCATAGATAAAGTAACTTTTTTAATAAAGTTTTTTAATAAAGTTTCATAGATAAAGTAACTTTTTAGCTCTCCTTATAAAAAAGAAAATATTTTTTTCTGGCATCTATCAGATTAAAATATAATGAGTACACTAATTCTGTTCAAAAATGACATCATGTACTTTTGAGCTGAAATCCTAAAAGGTCTGCATATCTGTGTCTATTTAGACACATATACAAGTGGTTTAGTATACATTTTCCACCTTATCTTAGGAAAAGTTTTCTTCAATATATTGTAAGAAGGAAAGGCTACATACTGCTATTTGACATGACTTATACAGGGTCCTAATTTCTACTTATGGCCCAATAATTATTTTAATACATTTGAACAGTTACAAGAATAAGCTGCTACTTAAATCCTGTCATGGATCTAGGTGTTGTGAGAGATCCCATTTCTAAGATTTCTGGAACTATAAGTAACTACAAGTTATAATAATATAATTTACTTTTTAATTTAAAACAATTATAATCTAAAACATTTCTTTGATAAATGTGAATATTGTAGTTATTGTCTGTGTTTTAATGGCTGTGGCTGATTTCAACACACTTGGAGATGGGACAGATGCCATGACTAGGTGAAGTGACTACTATTATTGATGATTTGTTTAGCTGCAATGCAGTCTGCAAAATTTAAAACATGGCTGAGCTATCAGGGGAGAAAAGGTTCTGATAAAATACAGCTCCAACATCAGAAGTGATAAATTAGAAATTTAACAGAGGAGAAAATACTTGCATTCATTTAAGCAATTAAAAATAAATGAGATACTTTTATTACTGTAGGCAACGTAACCAATTAGGTTGAGGTTAAACTCTTTGGTGCCATTTCAGTTAATTAATTGATTTTAAGGGATATACTAAAAATTTACATGTAAATTAGAAGCAATGTTTTATATTTTATAATTTCAACACATACCACCTAGAAAGATAAGTCTACATTTCTATCAGCCTTCCTTAGTTTTCCAGTACATTTTGGTTTTGTAATCCTATTATATATCAATATTTGTTTAGTTTAAATAAGAAACATAGTACTCCAAAATGTCCTGTGCTAGTAATTACTAGGAGGCTACTCCTGCAAACACTGGAATAACTGAATACATCTACTCTGGGAGTAGCACACTCACCTCCTCTTACACACAGTACTGTAACAGAGCTCCTTATTGAGCTTAAAAGATGTCAGTTCTAGAAAATTATTCTGTTTTAATTATATTTAATAAATTACAGAAGAAAAATAAGAAAAACTTCCTGCACGGACATCACTTTCATAAACTCAGTCGTCTTAGAAGCAGAGAGAGTATCTGCCAGATGCTGCTATGGTGAAAGAATGATTTTGTATTAATAATTCAGCTGACACCTGGAGATATTGGCATAAACAATGACTTTTTACAAGATGATGCAGTTCTAATTTAGGAATCACTGCTTCATTTGTTTTCTCCGTATCTTTAGTTTAACCCATGAGATTTAATGCACATATTAGCTCTGTGGTGACTTTCTTACCACACCTAGTATGTTGAGACTATAACGGTTAAAAATATTATGAAAGGACCAAATGTTTATTTCCAGTGAATGGGCAATTTTTTAAAAACTGATCATAATATATTCAGGGTCAAGTTGCAGTCTAATTGGATTCTGTAGCTGTCTAACAAGTTGCACAGAAACCAATGAAACTTAACAGAAATGTTCAAGTATAAATGCTAAATAAATTTATTTTTCATAGTAAATGTGTATGAAACTTCAACCATTAATTGAACTTCAAAAGTAATTTCCCTAGAGTTTACAACCATACTGTTAGAATTTGGTAAGTCAATACTATGCCATAATGAGTTAGAAGACTAATTTTCCTAAGTCTAGTTTGAGAAAACTTATTCAGAGCTACATTATAAATAGGATTGTAAGTCATTTTAGCTTACAGTTTTTTTCTAATAACAGACAAATCTATATTAACTATATTACACTGATTATGCAGTAAAGCTGTGTTCCCATGTCCTTTCTTGGCTGAAAATAACACTGGCTGAAAAGATTGTAACACCTAGAGAGCCCTACCTTTCCTCATAAGAAGTTACTGGCTCTT